TTTTTTTTTTTTTTTTTTTTTTGGTACTGGGGATTGAACTCGGGACCTTCGCTTTTGAGGTAGGCGGCGGAACCACTGAGCTAAAATCCCTGGCACAATGAATGAGACTTTTTGCAGTGAAAAAAAATTTGTTCATGTCTGTTCAAAATCTGTTCATTTTGGAAACAAAGTGCTTCCGTAGTAATTTGATTTGCCAATGTAGCTGTTCTAAAAAGTACACAGATCTAATTCTAAAAATTAGACTACTTCCTATGATATGAGCACAGAAGAGCAGATTTTTCACAAATTATTTTTTTCTTTCACATGAACCTCAGGTGTAGATTTGAATTCTTTAGAATCTTTAGTTCTAGACATGGTCCTTCTGGATTCATGTCAGACCTTTTAAAGATTTTTTTTCAGACCCTTTTAATTTTTAATCTTTGTTTTATTATAAATACAGTGAATACCAGAGTTAACCACCAGTGAATTAACCACCAGCCCAAGAGCTTGCCTTTATTAGCATCTGCCACCTGCCTTTTATTCTCTCTTGCCCTCTGTCTGCTGCCTCCTCTGCCAGAGGGAACTTTCTAGAGCACCTCCTGAAGCCAAAATTCAGAGGTTTTGTTTCACTGTGTTGTGTTGTGTTGTGTTACAAGTTCACTGATATGTGGTTCCTCCCTCTCCCTTTCAGAGTCTGGAGCCCCTGCCGGCCAGTGGGCCTGATTTTGGAGGATTAGGTGAAGAAGCTGAATTCGTTGAAGTTGAACCTGAAGCTAAACAGGAAATTCTGGAAAACAAAGATGTGAGTTGTGGTTACAGATCTTTTTTATTTATTTATCATTATTATTATTATTTTTTTTGCTACCGGGGATTGAACTCGGGTCCTTTTGCGCTTGTGAGGCAGGTGGTGGAACCTGATCGGGGATTGAACTCGGGTCCTTGCGCTTGTGAGGCAGGTGGTGGAACCACTGAGCTAAATCCCCGACCCCCACAGATCTTTATACAGTTGTTTGTAGGAGCATTCATTTCTGTGAACCTCTGAAGGGATGTGCGCAAGGTAACCTCTCACCAGCTACAACCAGGAAAACTGCTGACTTTTAGGAAAACTGCTCCTAGTTTTAAATTAGTTGTATGTGGACAGTTTGGGCAGACACATTTTTGTGTTTATTCTGTTTTAAATTCAATGAAAGAGTCCAGTTGTACTTACATGTATACATCTGTTCTTTGCTCCCAGAAAAAAGACCCAAGATGTCACCCGAAACTTCTACACTTTTTTTGCCTTTCAATGTAAATATCGGGGTTGGGGATTTAGCTCAGTGGTTCCGCCGCCTGCCTTGCCAAGCGAAGCGCAAGGACCGGAGTTCAATCCCCATACCAAATAAACAAATAAATAAGTGTAACTATCTTTCAGCCTCTTTTTTTTTTGAGGACACCGAGAGGTGAGAGCTCAGGGCTGCCCCTCATGGCCATGTTGGGAAGGATAGATTGGCCCTTGAGGCCTGCACATGTGCGGGGCTGCCTTGGCTGGGGCCGTCTGGCCGGAGAGAGAGGCCAGTCTTAGGTTGGGGTTATAGCTCAGTGGCACAGTGGCTGCCTGGCAAGCTTGAGGTCCTGAATTCAATCTCCAAAAAAAGAAAGAAAGAGAAGAGAGGCCAGTCTCATTCACAAGCAGAGCGGCATCCAAGAGTAGTAAGTGTGGGTTGTGAAACCTGAAAACACCTTGAAGTTCATTTTGATCTTTGTCTTTGGCCTTGCTCCCTAGTCCTGTGTCCTGTGTCTTATGTAATAATCAGTGTCCCCTGGTCACCTTCAGGTGGTTGTTCAGCATGTTCATTTTGATGGACTCGGAAGGACGAAAGATGATATCATCATATGTGAAATCGGAGAGGTTTTTAAGGCTAAGAACCTCATTGAGGTGAGTGCGGCATCTGCTCGGCATCCTTTTATGCTCCCTTCTGAAGAACCTGTAACTTCTCCTGTAACCACGGAGCGCCTGTCCCTGACCTCCTCCCAGAGCGACCCTCTGTCCCTGGGAGCCTCCCACAACTTACATGCTTTTGTCCTGACTTCCTGTCTTCCCTGGGGAAGAACTTCTGGCCTCTGGTCCCAGCCACCTTCCCTGTGCTGTTCCTGACCCTCCCACCAGCAGCCAGCACAGCCTATAGAGTGGGTCCTCGCCCTTCCCAGGCACTGTGCTGAGTGGTGATGCCCGGTGGAGCTGGCACTCGTCTGTCCCCACTCCGTTTCCCCATGGCCTCGTCTCTCTGTGGAGCAGTCGCTCTCCACTGCTTCTCTTCCTGCTCACGTGTGGGGCCCCCATCCCTCTGCCCTCACCCCGAGCATGGTGAGGCAGAGGTCACCTGCAGTGTCTTGTGGCCACATCCATCTGGCTCCTTTCCATCCACTTTTTTTTTTTTGGGGGTACGGGGGTTGAACTCGGTCCTTGAGCTTGCAAGGCAGGCAGCGGCACCACTGAGCTAAATCCCCAGCGCCATCCACTCTTACTTGACATTTAAGCAGTGTTTGTCACTGTGGATCATTTCCATTAAAAAAAAAAAATTTATATTTTTGAAAGATCGAAGTCAAATAAAAGAGCGCTGGACAAACCAGATGGCACTGAGGGTACTGAAAGGAACACACACTTGTTCCTGCATGTGGCATCTGTCCAGGGTGCCCACCTGGAGCAGCATGAGCAGCCCCTTCTCCGTGTTTTTAGCGCACACGATGGGACAGCTGCAGGAGGCCTTGGTGTGTTGACTTTGCATTGTTTATCGTAAGCACTTCCCCACCGACAGGCGTCGGAATTCACCATTTTGCTCCCGTAAACGGTCCAGTGTCAAACGTTTTTGTGCCTTTTTCTTGCAGGTTGCAGTAGACTTGCAGGATAAGTTCTTGCCAACCTGTTAGGTGAAAAATGCCGTTTTGTTGTTTTGATTTGCATTTATCTAATGATGAGTGAGAGCAAGCATTTTTTCTGTGCACTTGCCCTTCGTCCCTCTCTCTTGTGAATGACCTGTTGGTGTCCTGTTTTCCTGCTGGTCCTTAAGCTTTTGTTAATTTACAAGACTTTGCATGTTAAAGATTGCATCACCAGGGGCCACAGATTTAGCTCAGTGGCGCTGCACCTGCCTTGCAAGCACAAGGTCCTGCATTCGATCTCCAGTACTTCACAAAAATGAAAAAGAATGGATCACCTTGTCATCTATGTCTGTTGAGTGCATCTCTCCCACTTTGTTCCTTGTGTTTTGAACGTTCCTGTCCTTCCTTTTTCTCCACACTTCCTCTTCCCTGGGTATTACCCTGCTCTTCTCCGTCTCTGGTCACTATCACTCTGAGGCTCTGGTCGGCATCTTTTCCCTGTAACTGTCCTCAGGGTGGCTGTCACCCGGTTGAGTGCTCTGTTCTCTGCCAGCACCCCTCTGTTGCTGTGTGGCTGACTGCACACCTGCCACCCAGCCTGTTTGTGGCGTTGCCATGACCTGCAGCTCATCGCTAGGATCTGCAGGCATCGCCTCTCCCCCCTGCCCTGCCTGTCCTTTTATCTGTCTCTGTCACCTCCCTGGTTGCATTAGTCTCTAGGTGCTGTCCCAGAGCTGAGTGCTCCATCGAATCAGTGGCTGTGGCCTCAGCCCTTGGTGAGCTGTCTCTGGGGTCCAGCTGTCCCCTCCCCTAACACGTGGCTGGACTGGTCTGTCCTCTGTCCCAGCTCCCGGGTCTGTCGCAGGAGCCTTGTGCTTTACATCTCCAGTTTTCTCCCCTCCTGAGCCTGACTCCGGGTTCCCCTGAGGGAGCTGCTCCTTGTCTTGGGGAGTCCCACCCTGACTGTCCTGCTGGGAGCTCGGAAGTTACCCCCTTCTTCCCTATTATGCAAGTCCTTTCCTGCCCTGGCTCCTGCATGCTCTCCCTCCTCACCCTCTTCTAGTTGCCTTTCCAACAAGCATGTACTCCTGGCATCAGAAAGGACAGCTAATGCCAATGAAGAGAGGGCAGAAAGTTAAGCAGCAGTAGCGGTGGTTAGAAAATTGAATCAGCACAGAGAAGTGCACACGTGCATACACACACACCCCTCCCTTTCACCAGAGGAAAACACAGTTCAAACCTGATTGTGAGCCCTTCCAGGAAAGCCTGTGGCTTCATCGTCCACTTCCAGTATGCAGTGGCCTCTTCCGGCCCCGTTCCCTGGCGAGGCCCCAGGCGTGGCCAGTTCTTGTGGCGTTTTGTTGCCCCCATGCTGTCTCTGTTCTTTGCCTGGCTGGTTTTGGGGGTGCTGTCTTCCCAGTGCTCAGAGACTTAGCACCCACGTTACCCTAGTACCGTAGCCTCAGTTCTGTTTCTGTCTTGAAGAAGTCACTCTGTCTGTTTTCCTCTTACAGGTAATGCGGAAATCTCATGAAGCGCGTGAAAAGTTACTCCGTCTCGGAATTTTTAGACAAGTGGATGTTTTGATTGATACATGTCAAGGTACAGTGTGGCTGGCGTGTCTGGGATTCCCTCTCCGTCCTCCTCCAGGTCACAGAGGAGCAGTGTGGCCAGATATGCACAGGTCTCAGACGGGCCTTGGGGAGGGGCTGGAGTGCACGCTGGGCTGAGGGAGGAATGGTGACCTGAGGGGGACCTGGCAGGAGGGAGCCGGGCTTCTCTTGCTGGATCCCAGCCCAGCAGCTGCCTGCACGGACTCCTGCCAGTCGCTTTAAAAAGAGAGGGAATTGGTCTGTGTCGTCCTCTGCTGTGCTGCGTGGTGCTGGCCGGGCTGCTCGGCTTAGCAGTCACTTTCACCCCAGCCGGGCTGGCAGAGGCAGCAGCAGGCAGGGGTCGCCTCGTCTGGGGTTCGTGGCAGGTGGCCTGGCTAGGGCACTGCCGGCAGGAGAGGAGAGCACTCGGGGCCTACGTGAGGCTGTCAGGGCTTCGGGATAAGGATCCTGTACAGGCCTCACCTGGCCCCGTAAGTGTCACACATAGATTATCGATGGGGAAGCCGAGGCTCCGAAAGGTGGAAGGAACTCAGCCAGGGCCAGCCAGTGAGTGGCGCAGAACTGGCGCCGACCCCAGACCCACTAGCAGGCGCTCTTGGTGGCGAGTCCTGCTGTCATTTGGCTTTGACACTCTCTTCCCTCCCCACTGTCGGCTTGGCCTTGCCTCTGCCTGTGCTCCTCCACCCTGGCTGCACGTTAAAGAGTCCCTGTCACAGAGCAAGCGCATCAGTTTACATTTGCCCAAGCCCACCAACACCGCGAGTGGCCCTGACGCCAGCCGTGGCTTCAGCTGATAACTGCACATTGCTTCGTCACGTGGCAATGTCCACGTGAACGTGAGCTGTCAGGAATGGGGGAAACGTGTGGGAGTGGCTCAGGGGTTCAGGGGAGCCCTGTACTTTCTGCTTTATCTTTCTGTACTCCCGGAATTGCCCTAAGAAATAAATCTGTGAGTAAGAAGAAAGAGCAGCACTAAGGCTCCGCACTGGACCCCTGTGGGATCCAAGGCCCGGGCATGTGTAGCAGCTGCCGTGTGCCATACGCAGGAGCTGACTCCTTCCCTGCACGTGACACCAAGACTTGGTTGCCAGGGTAGCGGCCTGCACTCGGGCGCTGAGCACTCCCTGCCCTGATGAAGGACCTGGCCGTGTCATGAGTTAATAAGTCATGCTGTCCTTTTGTTCCTCTTTTTCCTGCCACCCTTGTGTGAGTCGGGGACCTCCCAACGTGGCTGAGTAAACCCCGTAGCGGTGTTGCTTGCCTGAGTGAACAGTGCTGCGTCTCGCTGTCTCCCCGTGGTAGTGGAAGCTGACTGTTTAGGGAAATGAGAAGCAGGTTTTTTGGGGTAGAGGTGTATTTTCATTTCGTGTGGGAGTCTTCTTAAGCTTTAAAGTAGAGGGTGTATTTTCTAAGGAAATTGTAAAGTGAAATGAACCTTCCGATTGCTCTTTGTCTTTTTTAGCTATAAGACCGAAAGTAAAAGAACATTTCGCAGCTGTCATCTTGTTTAATCTTTTTTATTTCCTTAGGTGATGATGCGCTTCCCAATGGGCTAGATGTCACCTTTGAGGTGACCGAGTTAAGGAGGCTGACAGGCAGTTACAACACCATGGTGGGGAACAACGAAGGCAGCATGGTATGGTGGAGGGGTTTTCACGTCTTGTTGGGGTTTGGAATGTGAGCTTTAAAACCGTGGCTGCATCTGAAAGATGACGATAGCTTCAGAACCATTTCTCAGCTCACAGCTCGTAGTCCGTTATTATCTGCGGGTTCTCCTTAAACTCTTTAAAGTGAGTTAGAATGTGTTTTAAATTTGGTAACAGTCATTATGAATGCTTTAGAAATTGTTCTTACTAACAGTAGTCCCTGTTCAAATTTCTTTTAAACTCCACATGCATAGGTTTTATGTCCTTGAGATTCAAGGTTAACAAGGTCACCTGCTTCTGTGGTGACTGCATCTGTGTGACAGATGAAGGCCTGGTCTGGGGCCTGCATCCGTGCCGTTTCTGTAACAGTCCCTTACCTAGCTGAGCTTGTATAACGTGTTCCCCCATTCCTTCCCCTTTAACCACTGCTTTGCTTTCTTCCCCTCTCAGGTCCTTGGCCTCAAACTCCCCAATCTGCTAGGACGTGCAGAAAAAGTGACTTTTCAGTTTTCCTATGGAACAAAAGAAACGTCCTATGGCCTGTCCTTCTTCAAACCGCAGCCCGGGAACTTCGAGAGAAAGTAGGCAGCCAAGCAGGTCGTGGAGTGCGGTGGCCTGGTGTGAGATAGAGTGGAGGCTTGCGTGTGTGCAGAGCCGGCAGTGAGCTGCTCCTCGGGGTGATTTACACACGTGCCGTTCTGTCCCGTTGTCTCCTAGTTTCTCTGTAAACTTATACAAAGTCACCGGACAGTTCCCGTGGAGCTCGCTGCGGGAAACAGACCGAGGCGTGTCAGCCGAATACAGCGTAAGTGCTCCCAGTCTCCTGGGCTTTCCGAGTGGTTCCCAAAGACGGTGCGGCTGGGTTAGCGGGAGAGCAGAGACCTGTGTCCTACTGGGCTGTGTCCTGGGAGTCTTTGCTGCAGCCTGAGAGCGGCTGCTGTCCATGCTGCTGCTGAGAGAGCTCTGCGCACCTCACTTCCAGTGACACTGATTGTCCTCCTGCTGAGGTGGACAGGCTGCTCCTGACGGAGAGGACTGGGGGTGCTGGCAGAGTGGGGCCCCCTGCCCTGTATGTCCTCACGGGGAGAACGGAGACTTCACCCGTGTCTCTGAGTGGCAGCGTCTTTTCGTTAGGCTCTGCCTTCTAAGGGCTGGGAGACAATTAGGAGCGCTCTGCCGTCAGGCGCATCTAGGGCAGTGCCCGGTGCCTTGTGGGTGCTGATGTGAGCGCCTCCAGTCCTGACCCTGTGAGTGTGCTTGGCCTGTGATGTTGCCACCAGCCCACAGTGGCCTCGAGGACACCGCGTGGTCGAGGGCACCCTCGAGGTTGGAGGTGGACCTGGCTTCCTTGTGACACGGTCATCTTTGTACTTCCCAAAGCCACCAGCAGTGTCACTCGACCTAAGGCAGGCTGTCCTGGCCCTGGGAGACTTCTGCCCTGGGCCTCTGTGGCTCACTCGGTCATCTGGTCCCCCGGGTGTGTCCTCACTTTTGCAGAGAGCTGGGAGAGACACAGCAGCTGCTGGTTACAGATCCCCCAGCTGTCCCCTCACTGGTGCTCAGAGGAGTTGCTCCGTCGCCTCAGTTCACAGCCTTCCCCTTTCTTCCTTTGTCTTCCTCCTCTGCTCCTCCCTCCCCTCTACCCTGCTTCCCGTACCCTCTTCCTCCCTCCCAACATACAAAAAATTTTACCCGTTCTCAGGAAGCTTACGCATGAGGAGGATCACAAGTTCAAGGCCAGCCTGGCGACTTAGTGAGACCCCATCTCGAAATTTAAAAAGTAAAGAGTTGGTAGTAGCTTAGTGGTACAGCGTTTGCCTAGTATGCACAAGGCCCTGAGTTCCATCCCCAGCACCGCAAAAAACAAAACAAAGGTGTTTAATTAGTTAATTGCTTAGTGATGCCTCATTGTGAACAGTGACTTGCCGTGACTTTCCGAGCGTGAAGGGCATCTCACTGCACCTGTGCCCTCGCAGTTTCCCATATGGAGGACCAGCCACACCGTTAAGTGGGAGGGCGTGTGGCGGGAGCTGGGCTGCCTCTCCAGGACCGCGTCCTTCGCCGTGCGGAAAGAGAGCGGACACTCGCTGAAGTCGTCCCTCTCGGTAAGGCCCTCTCGGGGAGGGATCAGGTTGTTGGACATAGGGAAAGTGGGATCTTTCTGTGCACAGCCCCTGCCCTGCCTCGGTTTCCCCAAATAGCATCCGCGGGAACTGGAATAGGTGTGTTTCAGAGCCGACCGTGGGATTGTAGCTTTCAGACATAATCAGAAAGTGGCTGTGTTGGCTTTGGCTGTGGGGCTGTGCTTGTGGGGACTGCAGCAGCTGGTGACGGGCACGAGGGGACCGGGGGCTGCAGCGTCCCTTGCTGTGTAGGCCAGGGTGACAGAGCTGCCTTGGCCCATGGCTTTGTGCAGGGCAAGTCGTTGAGCAGCCAGTGCTCGTGCTGCACTGCTGAGCTACACCCCCAGCATCAGTGCTGGTTTGTAAAACTGGGGGAAGTGCAGATGCCCGCCTACAACTCTCTTGCAGCACGCCATGGTCATCGACTCTCGGAATTCTTCCATCTTGCCCAGAAGAGGAGCCCTGCTGAAGGTGAACCAGGTAGGGTGGCTTCGTATCACCTTGGCAGGGCCAGGGAGCAGTGACCCTAGGGGGTGGCAGTCACGTGGGGCACTGTTGTTAACATTAAATGTCCCCGTGCGGGTCATTCTGGGGTCTGGGGCGAAGCTCAGTAGTGAGCGCTGCCCTGGTGAGAACAAGGCCCCGACGGTGCACTGATACAGACCTGGTCCCCAGCTGTAAGGGGAAGCTCGTGTGGGCACAGCGGGGTCGGGTCGGGAACCTGGGGCTGTGGAGCTCTGCTAACCAGCAGGTGTCGCCCCTGAGCTCTGCTGCCCAACTGTGGTTGTTGGTAGATGAGGTGGGGCAGGAGCATGGGGCCTGGGGTTGGATCTTCAGTGTAGGGGACCAGCTGGACATAAAATTCTTAGGTAGACTTTTGAACCTTGTGAAGGATCAGCTGGCTTCTGAACCTGGTCAGCCCAGTGAGGCATATCACCCATCAGCAGGACTGTAGTACCCGGCCCACACTGCCTTTCTGTCAGTTAGGGCTGTGCAGTGTACCTGATGATCCTCTGTCCCTGCCCACCTCTGGTAATTAGCAGCATTCTTTTGCCTTCCAAAACACTTCTGTAAAGCACCAGAATCCTAACTGCAGAAGTGTGATTCAGCAGCCCCACGTGAGCCCTTGACTGCCTTGACCTGCCGCTCTCCCTACAGGAGCTGGCGGGCTACACCGGCGGGGACGTGAGCTTCCTAAAGGAGGACTTTGAGCTGCAGCTGAACAAGCAGCTTGTGTTGGACTCGGTGAGTACCCGGCCAGGATGCTGCCGCCTCGGTTCTCCTGGCTGTGGACCCCTGCTCGGAAACCCTAGTCCCTGAATGCGTGGCACTGTGAGTGGGAGCTGGGAAGCACCCCGTATCCACGAGAGCCGGAACCCAGGGCTCCTGGGGAGAGACGACACTGCTTTCTTCTAAAAATGGCCCGTGGAACCCCAAGGAGCCTCCTCCTGTTGCCCTCTGAGGACTTGGGAACGTCTCCTTCCCCATCGTGTTGCTTCTGTGGAAGATCTGAACGTACTTTGCCGGTCACAGGGCTGTGGGTGCTTCTGGGACGTTTATGATTCTTGGATCAGTTTGGCAGGAGGGAGGGGTCAGCGCTTACTTCCGATCAGGCCTGGCTGTCTCTCTTGTCACCCGACTCTGCTCTGCCAGCCCCTCTCTAACTCTGGTGGCCAAGAGTGGGTTCTCATGAAGTGGGTCTGGCCAGCTTGTTTGAATTTCATAGTCACAGCCCTGTCAGTCCAGGGTCTACAGCACTTGGAACTCAGTTCCCGCCTCTCCCCTGCCGCTGTCACTCACATGCCACTGTGGGCCTCTGCTGCCTGGTTCACCAAGCTCTTCCGGTCCCTTCCTCAGCGCTCAGCACTACCTGCTCACCTGTTCTCCTGGGATTCTCTTTGCTGGTGCCCTTGACTCCATTATTGCTGTGATTCTTTGTAGCCTCAGTTTCCCTTCTAGCCTCCGCCCCATGGTGTAACTTTCCCTGCTCTTGTCACTCTTCCCACTGCGTAGCATGCGGGCTCTGTCCTGTGTCCCCATCCTGGTGCTGCCGGGCGTGTCCTCCACATGCCTGATAGATACCTCTTATCAGTGGATCTAAAATCCAGCCAGAGCTGGAGAGGCTGAGACGGGAGGATTGCAAGTGCAAGGCCAGCCTGGGCAACCTAGCAGAACCCTTTCTCAAAAGAAAATAAAAAAGGTCTGGGGATATAGTTCAGTGCTTCCTGGGTTCAGTATCCCAAAAATTAAAGCAACCCAACCGCCCCTAGGGGAGTTCTTGCCTTCCCTGATACACGGTGCTCACTCGGCCGCCCTCAGCTTCCCCGCCGCTCCAGGCTTCACCCCTGAGCTCTGATCCTCCTGTCTGCACCTGCCCTTCTCCAGCGGCAGCCCCACAGGTCTTCCTGCAGTGCGTACTGCTGCAGTGCTGCTGTCCCGCGCTCTCTCTGGGTTTGTGTGGGGTCCTGGGAGGGGACAGTGCCCTCCATGCCTTTGTGCCCCCACCTGCAGAGCACTAGCCTGGCTCGGCCCACGTGGATGTGCCCAGAGCACTCAAGTCCTCGGCCTCCCACTGGGTAGTCGCTGCTGCAAGTCACCTGCTTCACGGCAGTGTTGATTATCTCGTGCCCTACTGAGACCTGTGAGCGAGGTGGTTGTGTGGGGCGCTGCTCCCACCCAAAAGCCCCCATTGTGTCAGTGTACGTCGGGACCATGTGGCCTGCTCTGCTCCCGCTGTCCCAGTTCCATCTGTAGCCCTTCCCACCGAAGCTTCTTACCAAGTATCTGAGCGGCTGAGAAGGCTGGAGGACAGTGTCGGTGAGCCTTTTCGAGCGTTCGCTGATTCAGACAGCCCGCTGTGGCAGGCGTGCGAGGGAGAGAGGACAGGAGGTGAGCAGGCGCCTGGGCAGAGGAGCGGCTGGGGAACAGCACTCCGAGGAGCCCGATGGGCGTGAGCCTGGCCGTGCTGCCCCGACCTGGCGTGTGGTTCTGTCCTGGGGCCGGTTGCCGAGAGCGTCTTCGTACCGCGTAGGTGTAGGGGCATCGCCACGCCAGCCTTCCCCCTGCATTTCCAGGCCCAGGCACGGCTGAGTGGTGCGGGGCCCCCAGCACAGGGTCTCAGTCTTGCTTGTTTGTGAGGCCAAGGCTTGTCCTGGTGCTGGGCTTCTCGCCACAGGGTGCAGCTCGGGCCCTGGGGACCGGGCTGTGGCGTTCTTTGCAGTTTGCAGCTGCCTGTGATTGAGTTTTTCAGCCTCACAGCTGCTGCCCACACGTGGCGACTGCGCTCTGTGGGGCCAGGGAGGCGGGATGGGGGCCCCTTTCTAGGCTGGTGCTCCCCAGAAACCAGACTCTGCTGTCTGTCTGAACAGGTGGCATCCGCTACCCTGTGGGGTGGAATGTTGGTGCCCATCGGGGACAAGCCATCCAGCATCGCTGACAGGTGAGCCGTGACCAGCGGGTGGGAGTCGGCAGACATCTTCCTTCAGATCTTTTCGGTTTCCTTCTTTGTGTTGGTTTCTTATAGGATAGTTTAGATAGTTTTATTAGTTAGCTGAGACTATTTCAAGTTTTACTCTAGTTTGGATATTTAAGCTAACTTTCAAATATCTAGTGCAGCTTTTATTTTTGCTTTTGTATTACTATATTGTGTTAAAATATGTACTTTTTTATTATGAGAAATATAGTTCATACTTGTTACATAAATACAAGAATAGAGAAACATTTAAAGAAATTAAAGAAAGTCCTGTTCAATGGTAAATAGAATTAACATTTGGGACTGATTGCTTTTGGCCTATTTGTTGTAGATGTATTTATGTGTGTGCATACATAGGTGTGTTAAGTTGTTAATCTATTGTATTTTACCTACTCTTTTATTTCCTCTTTGCTTTTTTTTTTTGGGTACCAGGAATCAAACTCAGGACCGAGGCAGGTGGCAGAACCCCTGAGCTAAATCCCTGGCCCTCCTCTTTGCTTTTTGAAACATTTTAAGGAAATTATAGGGTAATTGTACACCAGTTCATGAGAAATTCTTCCTAAGCAGCATTTTATTGGCACCTAATCTTTCATTACTTGCATATATTGTAATTTTTCAGCCTACCTCAATGTTTGTTGGTATTTTAATTGTTTCTAATTTTGTAAGTTTGTTTTGTTTTGTTCTATTTTTGGCAGTGCTGGGGATTGAACCCAGCCCTGTTTAAATTTTTTCTTTTGCGACAAGGTCTTACTTCGTTGTCCTAGCTGGGCTTGAATTTGTGATCCTCCTGCTTCAGCCTCCCAGAGTGCTAGGATTACAGGTGTGCACCACCAGGCCTAGCTAAGTTTGTGGTATTTATAAGTAACACTGTGAAAACATTGTAAATAATTTCATTTTATTTTCTAAGAAGATACTGAGAATTACTATTTCAGAGTAAGGCTTTTTTTGGTTGGACATGGTGGCAGACACCTGTAATCCCAGCATTTGGGAGGCTGAGGCAGGAGGATCACTAGAATTTCAGGCCAGCCTAGACTCCATAGTGACTTCAGGGCCAGCCTGAACTACATTTTGAGACTGCCTCTCAGACCCCCCAAAAACAACAATAACAAAACAGAAACAACCCCCCCCCCCGTAAGGCTTTTTAAGACTTTTTAAGAATATTTCTGAATCCTCCCTTTTAGAGAGCTGGTGGCGGTGATGGCCCTAGGAGCAAGCTATGACAGGTGTTTTAAGAAGCCGCTTCCCCCTGAACTGGGTATAATGTTGCTTTAGTTTAAACTGCTTCAGCCCTTTTGGATGGCCGTTTGGAAGCGCAGAAACATTAAATTTATAAACTGGGAGACCTGACAGTGTATCGTGCTCGTTTGAACTTACGGGGCAGTATGAGCCTGGAGGAGGCCCTGCTTGGAAAGGGCCTCTCTGATGTGTGCTGGGCGCCTCGGCCTCCACGGTGGACAGCCCTCTGCCTGTCTCCACTTCTCCAGAAGTGTGCATCTCTGTTTAGGTGTTGAGAGTTGGGGCTGGGTTCGAAGACTTGATTTTTATGGACTTCGCAGCCTTCTGTGTGTCTTCCTGACCCCTTCTTAAATGGGGCTCCCATCTGGGTCACCAGAGCCAGCCGAGCCTCACAGGTGCTTTCTGCCCTTGCCATGCGCCACGTCGAGTTTACCTTCACGGCCAGCGTCTGACCCGTGCTGTTGGACCCTAGGTTTTATCTCGGAGGACCCACGAGTGTCCGCGGATTCAGCATGCACAGCATCGGGCCCCAGAGTGAAGGTTTGTCCTGGCTCCGGAGCGGTGGCCCCTGCAGGGGGGGGTCCCCACCTTGTAGCTGAGGCCGTGGAGGTGTTTAGGCTACAGCCTCAGTGGATGTTCAGGTTTCACGGTGCTGGAGCTGGCACCTAACCTGGGAGTTACCACACCACAGGCACAGGGTTTTATTGAGTGGATGGTAGAAAACCGAGAATATATATCTAGCAAAAAAAGCTAATGGCACCATGGGTTTACATGGGTATTCATATTCTCTTTCTGCATTTGTTTTCTTTGGATATGAGTTTTCAAAATGTGTTCACCATTTCTTGTAATAATATAACGGCATATTTTTAGAGGACTAATATTTATCTCCCCCCACCCCCAGTACTGAGGATTGAATGCAGTACCTTCACACTGAGCCGTGTCGTGGCCCTTTTGTAGTTTTTAAATTATTTTGAGACAGAGTCTCGCTAAGTCGCCCAGTCTGGGCTCGATCTCACAATCCCACCTCAGCCTCACAGAGGGCTGGGATTCCAGGCATGGCTTTATTTTATCATTGTTAGCAGTGTGTACTTCATCTTATTAGCAGACCGTAATCGTCTATTACCAGTAGACTATTTTCTGGCACAAGTTTAGGTTGACAGAAAAACTGCGAAGAAGCTCACCGTCCCCGTTACCCATGCAGCTCCCCTGTGCTACCGTGGCACCTCTGTCACACTGGGCACCTCGTTAGTCAGGCCTGAGTCGGGGTGGCTGTGTTTCGCTGGCTGTGGGTTTTGACAGATGAACACTGTCAGGCCCGCCTCGGAGGTCCTACACCAGACCCTCCGTCTCTTACGCAGGATGAACCCCTGACACCACGGGCTTCTGTGTGCAGTCACAGAGCGGGAATAGTTTTTGCTTTTTATTGTATGCAAGCGTAATGTTGACTATATTCATAGTTTAAGAGTCTTCCATCTGCCTGGAAAGTAAAATACAATCGTATTCTACCCATTACCTCTCTGAGAGGTAATGAGTAAGAGCCTGTAAGGAACCATGTAAATTGCCAGGCCTTCTCTGGAAAGCAGTTTGGTACATCAAGAGTCTCAAAAAGGCCAGCCATGGTAGCATGCGCCTGTTATCCCAGCACTTTGGGAGGCTGAGGCAGGAAGATCACTGAGAGTTCGAGGCCAGCCTGGGTACACAGTGAGACCCTGTCTCAAAAAAAATCAAAGGGGGGTAAGAAAAAGAAAAAGAAAAAGAGATTCTTAAAAATTATGTTATTTTGTTTTTTTTGGTACCGGGGATCTAACTCGGGTCATTGCGCTTGCAAGGCAGGCGGCAGAACCACTGAGCAAAATCCCCGGCCTAAATTATATTATTTTAAAGAATTATTAAAAACAACAATTAATAAAAGCACTAAGTTTGAAGCTAGAAACCCCAGTGCCCATCCAGAGTAGAACAGACAGGGCCGGGGATTGAGCTCAGTGGTGCCACCGCCTGCGTCACAAGTGTAGGTCCAGAGTTCGATTCCCGGTACCAAAAAAAGAATAGAATGGTCAAAGGATTGTTGCTCTCTTCACCATCTAATGAAGAAGAACTGATTATAACCACTGGCTGAACAGAGGCAGGACTGAACCTGAGAAGTGTGTGCCCCCATAGCTAGGCCTGGAGGAACGCGCCCTGGGTAGCTGCAGCGAAGCTCAGTTTGGGACGGGTCCCACTGCGTGTCACCCGACAGCTCCGCAGAGTGGGTGGCAGCAGTGACCCGGGAGGTCTTCAGTAAGAGTGGAGAGTCACCCAGGAAAGAAAGGGAAGCCAGGATGGCAAGGAGAAAATGGACAGTTCTTTCATCATCAGGCATAAAAATCATATTTTTAAAGAATATGAATCATCCAGAGAAATTGCTTATGATATACTAAAAAGTTGACTTATTTAAGTATGTGTTATACATCGTACTTCATTGGGAGAGTAGAGTATTAGTTGTCTGAATGGTAGAGGTTAAAATATTCTCATGTTTTCCTGTCTAGTTTTCTATGTTACTTTTCTGATCAGAATAAATTACTTAAGAGAGGAGAGTTTCTAGGAAGCAAAGTTTGTCTCCTGCTATCCGTCCACTGTTTCTTTTAGGATTTTGATATTCAAAAGGACTAAGGAGGGCTGGGGATTTGGCTCAATGGTTCCGCCTCACAAGCGCAAGGACCCGAGATCGATCTCCGGTACCAAAAAAAAGAGGACTAAGGAGACACCAAAGTCTTTGAATATAATCTGCTCTTTGGGGCTAACCTTACAGTATTTTATAACACTGGAGCAAGTTGGAGAGCTTTCCGTGGCTTTAATGTTATAGCTGTTTATGAATAAAATGTCACAGGAGCATTTATAGAAATAGTGCATGTGCCGGCTGTCAGCGGCTACTCTAGAATTTTGGCACAGGTAACCTTGGTCCCAGTGGTCCCAGAGCCACCTCTTCCCCCACACCAGACCTGGAGCTGGGCTGCCCTCTGCCTACTCAGCCAGTTCCAGGAATGGTCGCAGATCTTTTGTGAGTCCTGAAACCTGTAAAAGAGTGCATTCCATTTGCCAGGTGGAAGCATTTTATTGTCTGTAGGTGTGGGTGAAATGATTGTCTGGAGATTCACTCCTTTGAAGCATTTTACAGATACGATAAATTACCAAGTGCATTCTTTCCCAACCCCCACCACACTCCCCAGTGAAATCAAATTGTAAGAGAAGCCAGGAGGGAGGGAGATTCCTTAGAAGGGGCTAGTGGGGCCTCTGGCCGCCAAGCTGGCACGCTCTCAGGTCCGTCCCTGTCCCTCCCTCGCTAGGGGACTACCTGGGTGGCGAGGCGTACTGGGCCGGCGGCCTGCACCTCTATACCCCGCTGCCCTTCCGGCCCGGCCAGGGTGGCTTCGGAGAGCTGTTCCGAACCCACTTCTTCCTCAACGCGGGAAACCTCTGCAACCTCAACTATGGTAAGACCGGCTGTGGAAGGGGGCTCTCCGGGGCAGCAGGAAGTGCGGTCCCCAGGCCCCCAACCCTCCTGCGGTGCTGAGGACTGGACGTGGGGTGCTCTCCCGGCCCTGGCTCGAGGGCACGCTCCCCTGGAGCAGTAGCCCTGCTCTGAAGGCACCCGGGCCGCCGCAGGGCTGGCGAGGCTGTCTGCAGACGCCCTGACGGCTGCGCCCTCTTCCCAGGGGAGGGCCCCCGAGCCCACATCCGCAAGCTGGCAGACTACATCCGCTGGTCGTACGGCGCGGGCATCGTGCTCAGGCTGGGCAACATCGCGCGGCTGGAGCTGAACTACTGCATCCCCATGGGCGTGCAGCGGGGCGACAGGTACGCCAGGGCCCTCGGGGAGTCTGAGACGTCGAGTAGTTAGCAGGAGGGTGAAGAACGCGGGCTTCCTCTGTCAGCTTTCTCTCCTTCCGCCTGGGAGAGCATGTGATGCGTCCACCCCCCTCCCCAGAGCTCAGGGAGCCCCCAGAGCTCTGCCCGCGGAGTACAGGGGCGCTGCGGATGCAATCTGCTTGGCTCCTCACGGAGAGGGCGGGAGCCAAGGTCCCCTCCGCCGGAGCCTCCATCCGCCTCGGCGCTATGTTGACGACTTGCCAGACCCCCGGTGTCTGCCCCGGGCTGGCCCATGACCCACCGAGGGCCCCAAAACCCGGTGGTGCACGTGTGCCGACGTGCCGGGGTGGTGTCTTCCAGAGCCTGTGCACCTACATCCAGCTCACCAGGTCTCTGGGTGCCATTTGCGGGGCAGTGACTTAGTTTTATGGATTCGGTGTGGGACTCAGCCCGTGACAAAGGCAGGTTCTACCTTTGGGAACTTTCTGGAGCTTCTCCCCCCAAATGTCACCGATCCACATTTGGGTGTGGTACAAAAGGCTGACTGAGATATGTAGAGCAGTAAGGTCAGAGGGCGTTCACACTTACAGAAATTAATCCCTTTTTGTTTGCTTTGTTTTAACAGGGCTAGGGATGGAACCCAGGGCCTTTGTACTGAACTATATCCTTAGCACTTTTTAAGAGGTCTTTAGAGACAAGGCCTTCAGTTTTCAGCCTGGGCTTGAGCTTGCGGTCTTCCTGCCTCAGCCTCCCAGAGTGCTGAGATTACAAGTGTGTGCTAGCACACCTGGCTTAATGTCATTTCTCATTTACTGTGGGTGCATCGTATAAGGTTCAGGAAATCTAGCAGTAACGTGACAGTGTACGTCCAGGGGCTCAGGCTGCCATGACAGTAAGTCGACAGGCTGCTTAAACTGCAGACGTGGGGCTCCAGTAGCGCCCCCTCCGGCTTACAGCAAGGGCAGCCTTTGGAGGGGCGGCGGCCGCCTCACCCTGACCGCTCCACAGAGCGCTGCAACGGCTGTGGTCGGGACCTCAGTGAGGGACTGAGGCACAGCCACTGCTTCTCCCACACTCGGGCCGCCGGGCTGCAGACCACAGCCCACACCCGTCCCGCCGCCCGCCCTCCTTGCCCTGTGTCGGCGGCGGTGCCCACAGAAGGAAGGGCAGGCACACTGGTGCGCTTTCCGGAGGGTCGGTGCTCAGTGCTGTCAGCTGGGGTGCTCCATACCTTTCTGGGGGCAGCTGTGGCTTCCCTGGTGCCTCTCTGACAGCACCCCGCTGTCCCCACACGAGTGTGTGCGTGTTTGCTTTGGGCCTCGCCGAGCCACTCCGTGCAGCTGTGTGATCTGGGGTGAGAAGCCCGACCTCGCTGGGCTCTCCATCTTCCTGTCCAGGGAGCTGATGGCAACAGTTCTGCAGTGCTTTGCTTGTTTTTACTGGGGAGTAAACTCAGGAGTAAGTGACTTAGAGGGGGTGAGCGGAGAAGGGCGGTTTCCCCGGCACAGGGCCGAGGCAGCTTCCTCAGACCCTGGTCTGTGGCCGGGAGCTGGCTCAGCACAGTGCAAGGCTGTGTTTGCCTTGGCATTGGGGCCTGGTGCCCTCCTTCCTGCATCTGGCCCCACCGCCCGGGCTCTTTGGCAGAGGTCTGCGCGTGACCGTTCCGGCAGGGACGGCAGTACCGAGCACGGCCACTAGGTGTCAGCGCGCCCCCCACAGTCGGCACTGCTCTGCCTGCGGGGTGGTCCTCCTGTTACAGAGCAGGCGCAGTACGGCTTGGCCCCTCGCTTCGGGTTAAATCAGAAATGCGCTCCAGAGTTTCATTTCTTCCTAGAGGACACTGCCTGCTATGCCCTCTGCCGGGCCACAGTTCCATTCCATTGCGTGGTTATGGCTGTGCATGTTTGCCGTGGGCCATGAATGCCGTGCAGGCCCAGCCGGCACCCTGGACGGCAGTGAGGTTTGCTGTTTCGTCACCAGAATCTGGGTTTTGTGTGTTTGAGTGATGTTGCTGCAACCAGGTACCTGGCAGTGTGGGACTAAGCTGGGGTCGGTGGTTAGGGACCAAGGCCTCCTCAGAGTGACAGCCCGGGCTGTTTGCTGAATCCACCCTGGACGTGGTGGCGGCACCGTCACTGCCCTCACACAGTGTCCAGTGTCCAGTGCCCAGTGAGTGCCCGGGAGAGCAGCCCCCGTCTGTGTTGGGCACCCGTGCTCACAGCCAGGCTGGGAACTGAGCCGCATCCCCGGAAGGACGGCAGGGCTGTGGTGCAGCTGGCACACAGGCTTAGGGGGACAGGTGTGCAGTGGGGTGCACGCAGGGGGCACCTGTAGGGCTAGCGGAGGAGCAGCTGGGACAGAGCCAGCGGCTTCCAGGGTGCAGCAGGAGGTGGCAGGGGTGGCTGTGCTGGGCTGTGCTGATATCGGCAGGGCAGGCTGTCGTCTGGACACAGTGGGTGAGCGATCCCATCCCTGAGGTCAGCCTGAGTTACATCAGTGAGGGTCTGGACTGATGCTTCGTTTTGTAGCTCCTTTCCAGGCATTTTTCTAACACAGGGAGCGTAGGCTTAGACCACTCCACTAGCCCTGACAGTGTAAAAGTCAAAAGCAAACCGTTCAGTCCCGCACCCAGCTCAGCGGTGCCAAGCAGGGCAGGTGTTGATCTAGGGCACTGCTGACAGAAAGCGGGCCAGGTCGCCATAGCTCAGAGGCTGCTGGCTGCTGTCGGTGACAGCCTGTGAGGGGCGGGTGACGCTCAGGACGGTGGCTCAGTGACTGACCGAGTGGCAGTGCTGTGACCTTGGACTCACCCTTCCCAGGGTCAGGGGCTGCCCTGCGTCCTCCCTGTCAGTTAGGGAACAGAAGGGAGGAAGGAGGGCGCTATGAAGGGAAATCCCACCTCCCTTCTCCGTCCGTTTTCTGAAGGCTGAGTCTGAACCTGGCCAAGGAGGGAGCGGCAGGGAAGGGGTGGGCGGGAGCACGGCCGGGATGGGTGGCGGCTGTTCAGCTTGGGCTGCCCTGCGGTTTCCCCAGGCTGCCGCCCGCTGGCTGTGGGCGGACAGAGGGAGCGTGGCCTTCATCTCTGCCTTTCTTTCAGGATATGCGATGGCGTCCAGTTCGGAGCTGGGATAAGGTTCCTGTAGCCGTGCTCCCTCCCCTCTGGGTGCCCACCCTCCCGGAGTCCTCGCAGCTGAGCGAGCAGACCTGTCAATAAATGGTACTGAGGAGCACTTGCCACAGCGGGCTCTGGTTTGCTTTCAGCAACAGCACGTCCTGCACCGCCCTCTCCCGGATGCCTGGCTCTCCTCTGGCACAACAGGCATCTCCAGATTCCTTGTCCTCCTGGCTCCTGGGGTCTCCCCCTGGGGTCCTACAGGCCAGAGTGTTTGGCGGAACTGGGGACACAGCTTGCTGCCAGCCCTGTGTGTGCCAGCTGAGGTCATAGGAGGCCACATCTGTTGGTATAAAGGGTCACGTGTGTGGGGAGGGGTGACATGGGAGAAGTCACCACACTGATGCTGGGGACACTGAGACAAGCAGGGGAAATGTGTCATCGGTAGACTGATGGCAGCCACCTGAGATTCAGGCCACAAACCCAGAGGCTTGGACCTCGCAGACTTGGGGCTGATGTGGGGCTCGTGGTGGAGCGCTTATCTGGCACATGAGGGCGCTGGCTTCGATCCTCAGCACGGCAGAGAAAAAACAGACACGAACACAGGTTCATCCTCCAGGGAGGTCAGAAGCCCAGAGCAGGTCTTGTGGGCCAGAGGCCCGGTGGAGAAGCTGTGGTCGGCCTTCCCAGGCCCCAGCCTCCGCCCTCACGCCAGCTCTCCACCTCTGCTCTCTCAGTGACCCTGGTGATGGTTTAGGCCTCCAGATACTCCAGGGTAATCTCACTTAAGGCCAGCCAGTGAGCGCCCAGAATTCCCCTGCAGCCTTCTGTGCCCTGTTTCAGGGTGCAGCTGTCAGCCCTGCATGTGTTCAGGGTGTGGGCTCAGCACCGTTTGGATTCTAGAATCCTCGGACGCTCGAGTCCCTCGTTTACGTGTACAGAACTGTGTATCTCCAGCCCATATTTATAAAGGCACAGTGTTTATGTAACCTATACACGTCTTGTAGACAGTAAATCGCCTTTGGCTAACTTAGGACACCTAGGTCAGTGCAAGTGCTCTGAGCGTAGTTGTTACGGTGAACTGCTTAGGGAATAGTGACGAGAAAGGTCTGTTCCTGATCGGTACAGAAGCAGTTTTCTTCCTGAAGATCTTCAGTCCAGGGTTGGCTGCATCCGTGGACACAGAAGCGGTGGATGCGGAGAGCTGACTGTTCTTCCGGTCCGTCATTAGGGTGTGGGCGTGGAAGGCTCCACCCTCCCGGCCCCCGGGCGCCACCTCTGGCTGGTTCCCGCTACTGCATTCCCATCCCCTGTCCTGGCCGCCCCGAGCCTCTATGGTCAAAGTATGCAGTGAACGTTGAGATAAAATGTATTACAGTAAAAGTCATCCCCGTAAGTTGTCCTCAGAACCCTTCCTGCCTTGGTTCAAACGCTCGTCCCATCGCTCTTGCCACTTTCTGAAGCGGTCACCAAAGTCCTTTGCTCCGCGTGTCTTCACGCGGTGTGATCAGCCGCTGCTGCCATCTGCCAGAAAGGCAGCTTGTAAAGACGTGACACCGTCTTCCGGCTTATTCAGCAGACCTGGCACCGTGCAACTTCTGGCCCTTTCCAGAGTCAGAAGGACCAAGAGGGAGTATTTTGAATTGACTCACATCAAGTCAGCCAGGAGAGCGCAGCTCAAGACACTCAGCGAGCACCTCCAGAACTGCTGCAGAGGGCGGCACGAAGGAAGGGCTGAGTGGTCCAGGGCAAGAGTAGATATTTGGAGGGGAATCAGCAGTGTGTCTTTTACTGTTAATACAGTGCTTAAGATTTCAACGCTCACTGTATTTTTCGGTCACACCTTATGTTCGATGGGGGTGGTTTTGGGGACAGACATCGGAAAATGAGCCCCGGTTTGGGGCCCTGGTGGCTGTTGGCCAGGTCTGCTCCTTTCTTCTGGGACTCAGGTTTTTCTGCTATCAGGAAGACTCGGGTGCAGCACCTCCCAGCTCTGCGGCACAGCCTGGGGCCCCACCGGTGGGCTTTCTGCCTCCCAGGGTAGATGCTGGCGGACTCCCAGCGCCCGGGGTGTTTTGCCCTCTCCAGGAAGTGACGTGCAGGGCAGCAGACAGACTCGGTGGAGATTCCGGCGCACTGTCAGCGGCCTTCACAAAACCCTGAGGTCCGCGCTGCAGCATGCGGGCTGCTAAAGCCTGTTCATGGCACCCGGCATTTGGGCCCCTGGAGTGATAACTACATAGAACGTCTTTGCCTTCATTTTAATCTTTGAAATAATTTCATCAGATGATTATATATCACAGCAGTCCTCAAACTAAGTGGGCTCTGGACCCCTCAGCGCTGTCAGGATAATTACAGGTCCCCCAGAGCTTTTGTTGATGTTAATAATTATCCCTGTTGGAAATTAAAACTGACATGTTTTTAAAATATTAATTCCTGCTCCATGGTACACTGTATGCTTAGGGTACATCGTAGCAGCCCTAGGTTCAATCTACAGCTACAGAAAGACAAAAATCCACATGGAAGTGAATGACTTTTTTTTATCCTTTTGTGTTTGTTTGGTTTGGTTTTGGTTTTGGTTTTTTGGGACCTTGTGCTTGCAAGGCAAGTGGTGGAACCACTGAGCTAACTCCCCGGCCCTGTGAATCACATTTTATGGAAAATGCATTTCCCTACTAAAATCTCCAACTCGGAGGGTGGTAGGGTTTGCTGTCTTGCAAGTCTCCCTCTTACCTGACTTCAAAACCATCTGTGGCAACTGCAGCTATGACAAGTACAGGAAGGAAATTGGCCCTCACGGACAGGCATTTGGAAAAGGAGACTGGATATCCCTGGGTTTGTTTTTTTCTCTCTTTTTTTGGCCTTTTGAGGCAGTGTCTTGCTCTGTAGTCAAGGCTGGTCTTGAATTCACGGTGATCCTCCCGCCTCAGCCTCCCAGTGCTGGCATTACAGGCGTGCGCCATCTCACCTAACTTGGATATTCTTTGATACTTCACCAAAACTCAGCAAATGATAGTTTTGTGTCTTTTCTTGGCAATACTCAGAGTGGAACCTGGGCCTCTCACATGCCAGGCAAGTCCTCTGCCCCTGAGCTGCATCCCAGCCTCTGACAAATGGTTGTTTTTTCACAGGTTATTTGCAGAGTGGGATGTGAAGCCCCAGCTGTGACCTTTTCCCGTCCACTCATTCGCAGCCAGTGTGCTAGCTGGTGCCGTCTCTGCGTCTGCTCCCCAGGCACGAGCTGTCACAGCGCGCATTGGTCATTTGGGGAACACCAGCCCCCTGAATTATTCACATCTTCCAAATGCCAACGCCTGTCACAGTTACGCAGATGGAAAAAAGATCGCACTCATTAATACCGGTGCCAGTTGCATCAGGAAAATCATGGGTGTTGAGAAGCCGCCAAGCTCTTGGTTATAGATACACATTTTCCCAATTCCCATTTTCACTTGAAAGCTCACATTTTCTCATTGGCAAGAAATACTGCCAGTTGCTTTCCTTGAAGTTCACTCCACCCATCTTCGAAGAAATGTCTGCCTTGCTTGATGCCCACGTCCACATAACCACAGTCTTCCCGTCGCTCTCTCGGGCAAAGATGACGCACGTGCACAGGGCGATCCAGGGCCATCCTCGGGGCCCAGGGGCCTCCGTGGGGAAGGGCCGCAGGAAGCCCCGACCAGTGACATGGAGGCAATGTCTGTGATCCTGGTATGTAGGAGGCTGAGGCAGGAGGACCCTTGTGGGTTTGAGGCCAGCCTGGGCTACATAGAGAGACCCTGTCTCAAAAAAGGCAAAATAGGGCCAGGGATTTAGCTCTGTGCTTCTTCCGCCTGCCTCTCAAGGCACAGGGTCCCAAGTCCGATCCCTGGTAACAAAACAAAACAAAAAAGGCAAAATAATAATGTAAAAAAATAAAACCCCAAACCCTCCTTTTTTATCAGCTACGAACCATACTCGTCTCCTGGCCCTTGGTCCCGTTCTGTGAAATGGGGTGGCCAAGCCTGCCTGTAGCCGGGAGAGTAGCAGAATGTGCTTGGTGCCCCGGGAGCTGCTTGGTCTCCGTGCCTGGCCATGTGGGTGGGAATCCGTCTCGGGACCGAGACGACCCAGACCGCAGCTTGGGTCTGAAGATGAAGTGTAGGTCACTCCGAGCCGTAAGCCTGGTGCTCAAGTTTGAATGCAGCGTAAGGCTGGCTCGACACCCATCCCAGGGTCACCCCGGCCACCTTGCTGTGGAGGGTGGACGGGGTGAGTGGTGATCGCGGTCGGCTCGTCTCGCTGCCAAAACTGGCTTTACCGATGGCCTTTTCCTGACAAATCATTAGACAACTTTTAAGAGCAAAGAACGCTCATCCAGAATGGAGGTGCTGCACTATGTTGCTAGGAAAAGAAATAGCAATTGTTTTTTGAAAAGAAAGCACATCCTACGAGTTTGACCAACCGGGGAAATTCCAGCCTCTCTTTCCTGCCCCCTCAGTGAATGGGTTCCTGACGCAGGAAGCGTTCCTGTCCTTTATCACCGCCTCAACGAGCCGGTCAATTAAAATATTCTGACCTGGGCTGGGTGAGATACATGGCAGGCCTGGTTCCATCTGTCAGAGAGAGAGAGGAGAGAGAGAGGAGAGACAGAAGGTGAGCTCTTCGTATGGAGTCAGAGGCCCAAATGCAATTGCTTCCATCTTCTTATCATACCCAGAAATGACCGTTCATCGGGCACAATGTCCACGAAATGCGAAAGCGGCAGAGCTCCTCTGGGAACATTAGAACGTAATAAAGAGACCGGGCTTCGGCCTTGGGAACGTGGGAGTGGAAATTGAGGAATGAGTGTGGCAGTAAGGCTGGATGCCCTGACAGAGGTCGGCTGGGTGTGGTGGTGCGCGCCCAGCACCCCAGAGGCTGAGGCAGGAGGGTCACCAAGAGCTCGAGGCCAGTCTGAACTACTTAGTGAGACCCTGTCTCAAAAACAAAAGAAAAAAATGAATATATGAGTCATCGTCGTGACACTTTAAACCCGAGGAGGGGACTGAGCACTGGTAGGAACGGCTGCTGGTGGCCACGCTGGGCCTGATTACCTCACCTTTGGCCCTCCTGTCCGTCTCCATGGCCCCGGCCAGGCCTCGGTGCTTCCTGTCTGAAAACAGCCGGCTCCCTGCTCTTCCAGGTGGGAACAGGAGATGTGTCTCAGGGTGGGAAGAGCTCGCGCTCAGTCTGTGTGGGCCCTTTGTGTACTTATTTTATTGAGCACGTGGGAGCCGGTGTGGGTGGGCTGGGTGCTGGGCCTTCGGGTGGCTCCTGTCCTAGTTCCAGGAGAAAGTGTGACCTCATTAGAGACAGAGGCCCCCAGCTGTGCCTGTGTCTTCCTCCCCTTACCCCACCGTCACCCTCTGCAGTCACCAAACTTCAGTCAGAGCTGCCCCCTCCTCCGGAGTCCCTGGAAAGGGCCCGTCTGGCCCCTGTCACTCTCTCACCAGACAAAGGGCGTCCACCCAGGCCAGAAGGAGTCCCGGCTACCACAGGCACACCGGACAGTTCCAACAAGGGCAGCGCAGACGCTGAGCTCAGATCCCGGGGCACAGGAAGGGGGCAAGGCGTCCGCTGGTGAGGACGCACAGGCGCCTGGGTTGGGGACCTCACTTCTGTCTACCAGGCAGGGCCAGCACAGGCACAGAGGGGCTGCGCTTGCAGTGCATGCTAAGGAAAATAATGTGCCAAGATCCAAAGCAACCCGAGCAAGAGGACGGATTGGAAAAGCTTCTTTGGGGGTAATACCACCCTTCTCGGGGGCCCTGGAGACTAAAAATCTTGGTTGCACAATACATATGACCAAAAAATTCAGTAGTTCTTGAGCCGCGCATGGTGGCTCATGCCTGTCGTCCCAGCATTTGGGAAGCTGAGGCAGGAGGATCACCACACATTTGAGGCCAGTCTGGGCTACATAGTGAGATCCTGTCTCAAAAGAGCAAAAAACAGAACAAGGGGCCAGGGATTTAGCTCAGTGGTTCCACCCCCTGCCTCGCAAGTGTAAGGTCCCGAGTTCAATCCCCGGTGTGGCACCAAAAAACAAAACAAAAAATTCAATAGCTCTATTTAAAAAAATCAGTGATGTTATTTTTCTGATTAATTATTGTATAATGTTTTGGGGGGTGGAGCCCTGCGTCTCCATGTCACCTACAAGACCAACGCTCTACCACTTGGGCAGTGTCCCCAGCCTGAACTAGCTGGAATGCAGGGAGCCCCTGTACCCCATCCCACTTTCTCCTGTGACCCCTGTGATCAGTATGGCAGCCCAGGGTGCAGCTCCATGAGGAGCATTTACCCAATGTGCGTGAGGCTGGGCTTCCATGCCCAGCACTGAAGGGAACAGCCTGATTTACATAGCGAGACTCTGTCTCAAGGAAGAAAAACCCAAACCGATAACTCTTTCTTTGGAGATAGGATCTCACTATGTAGCTCAGGTTGGCCTCAAACTCAGCAATCCTCCTGCCTCAGCCTCGTGAATGCTGACATTACAGGCATTCACCATCACACCCAGCCCTAAACCAGTAACTAAATAAATACAATAAAATGACCAAATCCTTGGCCGCTTATCACAGGTTTTAATATAAGAATAGTCATTCACCTCGGAAAAGTCACATTTTAAAATGACCTTTCTTTAATTCTGCTGCCGAATATTTGGAAATATTAGTCCAGAAGATTTGCGAGGACTTCTTTTCTGTAGAAGTTTAAACGTTTCCGAAGGGTGCCTGGCAACGTTGGAGCAAGTACAGGTTCGCATCCATTGCTGGGTCTAAACTTGGGGTCTGCGTGTGGCTGAGACTGTTCTCTTCCCCGATGCACTGGGCCTGCAAGTCTAACTGTGCTTCATTAATTCAGAAACGCGCTATTCACATCCACACATGAAGCCTGGAAGTCACAAGGGAACTGATGTTTTATTCTGCCACTGGGATTGAACGCAGGCCTTCGCACTGAGCTACACCCTCAGCCCTGTTTTGTTTTAAATTTTGAGACAGGTGCTCTCCTCCACCTTGGTTCTGTGTGTGGTTTACAGACCCTGCTTCTTCTTCTTTAGTACCAGGGATCGAACTCAGGTCCTTGTGCTTGTGAGGCAAGCGGTGGATCCGCTGAGCCAAATCCCCAGCCCGACCGCTTGTTCTCATGGTGACTGTGTGACTCCCGGGAAAAGCAGGCACACACACATCTCGGGATAAATGTCAAGAGGGAGTAGGCGGAAAGCAGGAAAGCACGCACACCTTGCCTTCTCTTCAAAGCCTTCCCTTGGCGCATCTTGAAATTCTTTTTCTGACTTTTTTGTTTTCTGATTAACTCTTCCTTGGGTAATTTTTGGGGGGTGGAGCCCTGGGCCTCCTTGTCACCTACAAGACAAACTCTCTGCCGCTGGGCCGTGCCCCCAGTCCTGAAATAAAACAAGCCAGGAACGCAGGGAGCCCCTGTGCCCCACCTGTTCCTCTGGTCTCTAGCAGAGGGGGACGGGATCCAGGACTCCCCAGGCACAAGAACCTGAGGGTGCTCTGCCCTTCCTGAGCAACTGATGGGAGTTCACCTAGAAACTGGCAGGCCTGGGAAAGGTTATCTTGTATCAGTTAGGGGAGAATGGCAAGAAAAAGGCGGGGTGGGGGATTTAGCCCAGTGGTTCCACTTTACGAGTGCAAGGTCTGGAGTTCAATTCCGGGTACCAAAAATAAATAAATAATTTAATTAATTAATTAAAAAAGGTATCTCTTGGGCTGGGGATTTAGCTCAGTGGTTCTGCCGCCTGCCTTGCAAGCACAAGTTCCAGAGTTCAATCCCCCGGTGTGAAGAAAAAAAAAAACAAAACAAAACGTGTTTCCCTGGACTTGGAGGGTGATGGGACTTCCTCTCCTCCCCAGCCACCTTTCAAGGCTTTTGCAACACCCCAGGCACTGCTTGTCAAAAAACGAAAATTACGGCCAGGCATGGCGGCGTGTTCCTACAATTCCAGTACTTGGGAGGCTGAGACAGAAAGATTGCCACAGGTTTGAGGCCAGCCTGGGCTACTACAGAGTAAGTTCAAGGCCAGCCTGGACTACACAGTGAGCCCCTGTCTCAAAATAACAACATTGCAGTGAAATACACATAACCCACAATGTGCCACTGTGACCTCATCTGTGTCCATCACGGCCCCTAGGTCCACTCAGGGTGTTATGGAAGGAATCAGTAAGTGACACACAGAGGCGGCAAAATGAAAGCAAAATAATAAATTTACTCATCGACAAGGGTCGATCGCGCATCAGTCGTGCCTGGATCGACGACACACTGGGTTACAACTCCTCCTTTTATAGGGTTTCACAGCCTTGGCTTCCTTTGGGTGGTTACAGTTCATTCTCACAGTTCAAATCACGGTCACAGGATAGTTAATCTTTTCAACCCAGACCTAACAGTTCTTTGCAGTTGGGGACTTTACCTTTAAGATTCGCCTAGTTACCTATGGTAGGTAGGAAGGGGGTGCTCAGGGTCAGGGAGGCGAATGTTAGCAGTGGGTTCTTTCATTTAGACACTTTTACGATCAGGTGGCTCCAGTCTCTGGGAGCTCAGGACCTTGCTGTGCCCTGTTATCTCAGGGTGAGACCAATGCCTCAGTCAGCAGTGAGTGCCTTCGGTGCCTGTTAGGTCTGAGCTAAACAAAGCAAACTGCTGTTAGAGACAGCAGAAGCCACTTTACATTGTAGCACTTTATAGGTTTTGCTATTTATAGAAGTTTTCCCTATCAAGGGCACTAGGCAGCCCCACCCCAGCACCCACTGTTCTACCCCTGCTTCCAGTCTCTGTGAACCTGAGTTCTTTAGCACCTGAGGTAAGCGGAATCCCACCACACTTGTCCCTCTGTGCCTGGCTTATTTTATTAGCATAATTTCCTCCAGGTTTGTTCCTGTTGTAGCATGGGTCAGAATCTTCTGTTTTTCTGAGACAGGGTCTTTTTTTTCATTGGTGTTTTGAGACAGGGTCTCACTATGTAGTTGAGACTGACCTGGAACTCACTATGTAGCCCAGGCCGGTCTCAAACTCACAGTGATCCTCCTGCCTCAGCCTCCCAAGTGCGCCACCACGCCTGGCTTGAGACAGGGTCTTGATAAATTGTCCAGACTAACTTTGAACTTGCAATCCTCCTGCCTCAGCTTCCTGAGAAGTTGGCATTACAGGTCTGCACCACTGCACCTGGCTCGCAATCTTCTGTACATAGGAATGCAGTGCCACATCTTGTGATCCCTTCATCTGTTGACAGACCTTGGGTTGGTTCTACCTTATCTTTTGTTTGTTGGTTTTGGTTTTTTTGAGACAGGGTCTCACTATGTATCCCAGCCTGGCACTGAACTCATGACAATCTTCCTGCCTCAGCCTCCTGAGTGCTAGGATTATAGGTGTGTACCACCATGCTGGAATCCATTCTATTCTATTCTTTTCTTTCTTTCTTTCTTTCTGTTTTTGAGACAGGGTCTATGTAGTTGAGACTGACCTGTATGTAGCCCAGGCTGGTCTAGAACTCACAGTGATCCTCCTGCCTCAGCCTCCCGAATCCTGGGATTACAGGTGTGCATTGCCACGCCTGGATTACATTTTTGATTCCTTAAATATGCCTGTGTACCTACTATATGTGAGGCATGATGCTTTTAAGTGAAAAGCTTCTCGTTTGCATTTTTCTTTCAGGTTCCAAGATGACTAACCTGTCTTTACAGAAGCAAGTTTTGTGTGTGGCCCTCTTTGGCTGGCTTCGCTAATGCTTAGGGGACTGTGCAGCAAGGCACTGCCCCGGTTTTCATAGCTCTCTGTCATACACATTTAAGCATCACTGCCATGTGAATAATCCCCCGGAGCTTTGCCGTTTGCGATTTCCTTGCACAGCTGAAGTTTTGGCAGCCTCCAGGTAACTTGGTGTAGAGGTGGGTCCTCCCCTGATTGAAGGGTATAAGTCAGGTACCACGGCTCAGGCTTTGGTCTCGGTTAGTAGTGAGCTACAGGGAGGCATCTGGGGGGTAATGGTGGGGAGATTCTAACACAGGAGTTCCGACCCTGAAGGAATGAAAATCCCCGTCACTCACACAGTGAGCTGCACACGGGTTCTGATTGGCTTTGAAATCGGTTCTTTTTGCTCTCAGAACTGGCAGATAGCGAGGCAGAGCTCATGGCTGCGGTGTCACCTTGACCAAGTATCTGAACATGAAGAATGGGGCTTCCAGAGTCGGGCGAGGTGGCCCATGCACTCAGGAGGCTGAGGCAGGAGGATCGCCGTGATCGCCGTGAGCTCTGGGCCATCTGGGGCTACATAGTGAGTTCAAGAACAGCATGAACTACAGAGCAAGATCCGGT